TTTTCTTCATTGTATCTTTATATCTAGGTACCTTATGATGTCAAGTTTTTAACCCTTAACAGAGGCATAGAGTTTAGCTCACTCTATGTTGTTTCTTTATCTTAATCATTGATTTTGTCTTTTTAATTTTTTTTATTTTTTATTGTAATTTGCCTTGCCATTTATGCCCCCTATACTCTCTTCTACCTTCACCCACTCCCTTTCCCCCACATTCACTGCACTGTTGAGGTCCCTATTGAGGTATCCAGGGTCAAGCCAGTCAGTATTCATTCAGTCCTTCAGTGTTCTGATTTGGTTCTTGTTAATATAAACAGCTCTTTCAGAAAATAGCCTTTATTCCTAAGAAAAAGAAATTGCTCAATTTTTTCTCTATAGACTGATGTCTGGCCAGATGAAGGAAGGGCTGTCTCTATCACTGTGCAAAATGGACATTATGGAGTTCTTAAGTGTAGTGTCCTCATTCTTGAGCATTCTTGGGCAATGTTTCTTCTCCATCTCAGACCTGCTCCCTGTAGTGTCTTGGAGCTTAGCTTACCCTACATTCCCTCAGAGCCAATTATTAAAATTTCAGGAATTTGTGAGTTGGTTGTGAAATAGCTAAACTAAGCCTGCCTAAAATCTAAGTATATAAACTTACAACTAAGTGTACTTTATTAAAAACAAAAGTAATAAATACTCCATATTTATCACTTCTTAATTAGTTCACCATATTTTCCTCTCATTTATGCTCTTGAAGTTATTTATGTTTCTTGTGTCTATGTGGTGGAAATGTCACATAATTGTGAGGTAGGTCACATCTTTTCCTAAGTATGGGTTTAGCAACATCACATTGGTAGCTTAAAATCAAACATGGTGACAGAATTACACGACAGAAACTGACAACTGCTACAAATCAGGGCTTGATTTATTGTCTTACGGATTGTTTAGAATTGATGAAATGATGGAGTAAATATTAATGATGCAGGCTATATTTTCCAATGTGTCAGCAGCCATGATGGTATGAACAGCACAAAAATGTGATGAAATATGATTATATTCATCAAAAACTGTTGTCTGATTCAGCAAAGATGTTGCTCACGTCATTGATATATGAGTAATGTTCTGATATACTTCATTGATTCACTTCCATCTTACTCAGGACTCAACAAACTTTTTCTCTGAAGGGCTCAATAGTAAATGTCTTAAACTTCAGGGGCCATGTAAGTTCTGTATTGCACATTCTTCTTGAATGTTTTGTTTTGTTTTTTACTGCTCTTTTACTTCATATGCACCCTTTAAAAATGTAAAAGTCATTCTTCATTCAAAGCTGTATCAAAACAGGCTGGATTTGGCCTGCTGCCTGTGTCCATAGTTTGTGACACCTGGTTCCTACACATTAATGTCAGAGAAAATATCAACCAAACATCAAGGTCACATTTATTAATTATAACCATAGATTGCCTATGGATCCAAGAGTTCAGTAAAAATTATTAGAAGCATTCTGTGAGAATCAATTGGCTGTGCAGAATGTATAATAATTATGTATTTAATTAACATCTATAAATATGGACTACATGGCCATTATATTAATAACTTGTATAATAAATTCGTAAATACATATTTGTCTATCCATCTATCCCTTTATCCATCCATCTCTCTAGACATCTAGACATCTAGATCTTCATCTCAATCTGTCATTGAACATTCTCAACAGACTTCTGTGATCCATCCTGCTTCTGTGGAGATTGCCATCAATGTTCTCTACTTTATAAACTGGATTCTCTGTATGTAATGACTCAGCCCCACTGTGGCTGTTAGTGCTGCCTTAGACCTTCCCTCTACAATGTGGTTCCGATTCCAATTATGGCGCAGGCTGGTTAATTCATTCTTTATCCTCAGCAATAAAATCATACGTGCTTACTGCAACCACCCCTCCAGACTGAACCTGAAACTCCACTCAGAATTTAAACAGAAAGTGAGAGCAAGAGACCATCTCTAGTCTTTGAGGTGCCCCCTCTCTCTTTTTTTTCTTAAAAGAAATGTCTTTAGCCCTAGCTGATGTAGCTCAGTGGGTTGAACATCAGCCTGCAAATCAAAGGGTCACTGGTTTGATTCCCAGTCTAGGACACATGCCTGTGTTTCAGGCCAGGTCCCCAGTAAGGGGAGCACAAGAAGCAACCACACATTGATATTTCTCTCCCTCTCTTTCTTCCTTCCTTCCCCTCTCTAAAATAAATAAATAAAATCTTAAAAAAATAAATGTCTTTAATTTATTGGGGTAACATATTTAATAAAATTATATAGGTTTTAAGTGTACAATTGTATAATACATCACCTGTATATTGTATTGGGTGTTCACCACTTCAAATCAAATTTCCTTTCATCACCATTGTGGTGCCCTCTTACTGTCTTAATTAGCTGTAACATAAATACTGTAGACTAGGGGGCTTACACAACAAACATTTATTTCTCAGCATTTTGGAGTCTGGGAAGTCTGAGATCAAGTCTCCAGCAGATTTGCCCCCTGGTGAAGACAGCTTCCTGATTTACAGATAGCTGTCCTTTTAGTCTGTCCTCACATGGCTCAGAGAGTGAGCTCTGTACTATTCATCTCCTTAGAAGGGTACTAATACCATCTAGGCAGCTTCACTCATGATCTCCCATATTACCACTAAATTACCTCCTCAAAGATGATCTTCCTGAATCCCTGATATTGGGGATTAGGTTTCCACATATGAATTTTAAGGGGGACAGGTTCAGCCTCTAGTGCTTCTCTAATGAATCTTTCACTCTTTTCTTCAAATCCTGTGATCCTCCTGGGTGCCCACAAGAAGACTTCCAAATCCTGTAGCATGATGTACAATACTCTCCACAATGTGTTCCTTCAAGCCATTCACAATTTTCCACTCCTACGGGATTATTCAGTTCTCTGTCCTCATCATTTTTCCATTTCTCTGTGTGTTATACTGTCCACTCCCTTTTCTAGCTTGATACATTGCACACTCATCCTTCAAGTGAATTTTGCTAAATTTACAAGGATTCTATCCTATACTTAAATTCAACACTTAATAGTCAAAGGATTTTGAGGAAATTTAGAATAAACTTAAGATACTGATGTTATGATACTTTATTGTGGGTTTTTATGATTTATAGTAATTATACTAGTAGAAATCATTTAATGCTAATCATTTAATACCCCAACTGCTAGGAGGCATGATAAGCATTCAATATATGTTGCCTGGTTTAATTCTCACAATACCCCTATGACATGAGTCCAACAATTGTCCATTATTTTACTGACAGTAAACTGAGGCATAGAGAAGTGCAGTAGCCAGACCTCACACTTATATCTGTTTAACTCAAGGCCAGTGTATCACTGATTCATATTATGTGTAATTCACTATATATGTGCATACTGGATTATATGTAAAAATCTGATGGCATTTTACTGTTTAACTTAGGGGTTCCCAATCCCCCAGCCATGAACTGGTACTGGTCTGTGGTCTGTTAGGAACCAGGCTGTACAGCAGGAAATGAGTGGCAGGTAAGTCAGCAAAACTTTGCTCACATTACCACCTGAGCTGCACCTCCTGTACCGAGCCCTCATCCATGGAAAAATTGTCTTCCATGAAACCAGTCTCTGGTGCCAAAAAGGTTGGAAACCACTGGACCTAACTAATACAATATAATCTGTCTCATTCTGTATTTGTAGTGAAATCACACTTGTACAAGTGCTTTACTATAAAGACTATAAAGCATTGTGTTGATATTAATTAATTCAAGAGGAATAATTTTGTTTGCTAAAAGATGTTAGGGTAAGAATGCTGTATCTTCTCAGGAAACCATTGGTAAACATATTTAATGAACATTATATTTTCTAGAATGGATTTTTAAAAGTTAAAGGTGAAAAGTATGTGAGGGAAGAAGAAGTGCATTCATTTATCTTATGTGTAGAGAGAGGTGGGGAAAGGGAGTGAGAAAGAGCATCTGCAAACCACACAACAGGGCCGTTATCATAAACTGTGAAGAAAAGAAAGGCAAAGGTCTTGTGGTGTGTGTTATGAGCCACTGAGTCAGCTCTGACTCACAGTGACTCCTGGCGACCCAATGAATGAGTGACTTCAAAATGTCCTGTCCTCCAAAGCCTTGATCAACTCAGGGACTCAAGCTTATGGCTTCTTTTATGGAGTCAATTCATGTCACATTTGGTCTTCCTCTTCTTGCCGCCTTCTATTTTTTTCCAGCACTATTATCTTTTCCAAAGAACTCTGCCTTTTCATGATATGCCTGAGAAAGGTCAGGTTTTTACCTCCAATGATACCTCAGGCTTAGTTTGCTCTAGGACCCACTTAATCATTTTTCTGGTTGTCTGGCATATTCTTAGAGCTCTCTACTCCAACACAATTTCAAGTGGATCCATTTTTTTTCTATCAGCCTTGTTATCTGTCCAACTTTCACATCAATACATAGTAATTGGCAACATAAGGGTGTGGGTGACCTTAACCTTGGTCTCTAATGACACATCTTTGCTCTTGGTGATCTTTCCCAATTCTTCTATTGCTGCCATTTCAAGTCTCAGCTTTCCCTTGATTCTTGTCTATAATCTTCATTTGAATTGATGGCTGAAATAAGTGGAACAAAATCTTTAACCCTTTCAATATCTTCAACATCTGTGTTAAAGTTTTGTATTGTTTTTTTTATTTTTGTCTGCTTGATGTTCATATGCAGTCCTGCTTGGCACTTTCTTCTTTTACTTTAATCAGAAATTATTTCAAATCATTGCTATTTTCTTCCAGTAAGATGGCATCAACAGCATGTCTTAAGTTATTGCTATTTCTCCCAAGGCCTTACCTTCTAAGCACCTTGCTTTCCTGGACTTTTCTAATGGCAGGGAAGGAAGATACCCAGTCAGTGAGTGGATGCAGTATGTGGTATCAGGTTACAGTTGATTCTGTGATTTTTAGTTGAGGGTGTAGAAGAAAGGTGTGATGTAACTTCTTCCTCCTCTTTCCTTCTTTCAGTGCTTCGTCTGTTGAAGGAAGGGGCGAACCCCCACACTTCCGTTTCCTCAGGAGGTTCCTTGCTCCATCTGGTAAGAACTCTGATGACCAATACAAGCATGGGTGACCCAAGGACAAGGAGACTCAAACATGGAGTCAAAACTTAGTAGCAAAATGTACATCTGACAGATCATTAGAAAAATGATGTTCCAAATTTACAGTTTTAGATAATTAATCAATATTTATTCATTACTTGCATTACAGTTTACTGTAAATAATCTTCAGCAAATGGAATTAGAGTCTCTGCCCAAAGAAGATGCATATGTAAATGAATAGTATTCAACAAACAAGCAAGAGAATATTGTCTTAATTATAGATTATTAGTCAATCATTCTTTTACATTTGTAAGTTGTCTTTATTGCTCCAATGAACTTTATTATACTCTGCGTGTAGCCCAGATCATATAAATGTAAATAAACTTATTTACGTTCCTTTGGAAACAAAACAGAAGATTAAATTGATAAGGCAGATGGGAAACACTTTATTAATTCTTGATCCAATGCAAATATATTGCATTTTTATACTGTTAGACATAGGTTGTGAGTCTAAGACGAAGGGGGAAGATAGACCTAAAATATGTTTAAGAAAACCTGGTGATGACTGAAGGAACATGGGCTTATTGCTGAGTCTTCTTTTCCTGGGGTTACTGAGTAAATAAAAACAAATGAAAAATTGCAGGTTGCCAGAGAGACAAAATTACAGGGTTTCAAAATGACTTAAATATTGAAAAAGGCAATTTAGCCATCTAAAATGTCACATGTGAGTAGGTTGCTCTGCACTTTGCTCTGCCTTTTAGATGTTCCACATCGTGAAGCCTCCTGCTTTATCAGCACCAAAGTGCTAATTATATATTCTTAGATCAATGTCTCTGAGAAAAAGGCATCATGTGTTTGTGTGGGGTATCAAGGATAAGCTGTGGAAACTGTTGGGATTTCCCAGAGTTTTGTTTATTTAACTTAATTATTATTCATTGGGTACCTGACTCTAAAGGTAGATTTCTCTTAGAAGTGCCACAATAATTTTTATGTTGGAGAGTAACAACTCCCACCATATTACATTACAGATAAGTATTTGAGAAACAAGTTTTAATATTTCTGCCATGTAAAAGTTATAGCTATAGCTATATGCTTTTAACAAATATATCTAAATTTGTCTGTTTACCCTTTGCTAAATAACTTGTATATCAAATGTAAAGCAGGTATCTAGTGCTATTATGGACAGAAAAGATATCATGTCAGTAACAATATCAACAACCAGGAATTTAGTCTCATGAGGGCAATATAGATGGAAACTCAGATTTAATTCTTTAAAATAGTATGATATTTATGGAGTCGGATACAGAATCACATAAGCTTTGCTAAAATGCTATCTGGGGTTTTATGTTACTGCCTTTAATAAATGGGCTATTCAGGAGTTCCTGATGGTAACAATACCTTCTCAATTGGAGTGTGAAGGCCAATTCTTTTCATTCTGTCTTTTGACAACAGCAGGCCATAGTAAAGCTTAAGTGGAATGCATTAGACATACAAATATTCTTTCTTTTACCTAGCAGGTTCTAGGTTTAACATAAAGACTGATTTAAGCAATGGAATTGCATGCAGCTATTAAAAATATTAAGCTAAATGGATAAGGGTAACAAAAGTAAAAATAACAGGGACTACATCAAACTAACCAGTTTCTGCACAGTAAAGGAAACCATTAACAAAAGGAAAAGACAGCCTACTGAATGGGAGAAGTTATTCACACATGATATATCTGATAAGGACTTAATATAAATATATGTAAGGTACTCACAGAACTCAATATAGAAAAACACATTTAAAAATGTGCAGAGGATCTAAATAGACATTCCTCCAAAAAAGTATAGATGGACAGTAGACATGAAAAGATGGTCAACATCACTAATCATCAGGGAAATGCAAATTCAAACCAGAATGAAATAACACCTCATACCTGTCAGAGTAGCTATCACAAAAGAGTCTACAAATAAAAGGTTTGGGTAAAGATGCAGAGAAAAGGGAGCTCTGATGCACTGCTGGGGAGATTGTAAATTGATGCAGCCACAATGGAAAACAGTATGGAGATTCCTCAAAAAATTAAAATTAGAACTGCCATACAAGACAGCAATTCTCACTTCAGGGTATTTATCTGAAGGAAGCAAAACCACTAATTGAAAGGATATATGCAGCTGTATGTTCATTAAAGCATTATTTACAATAGCCAAGACATAGAAGCAACCTAGGTTTCCATTAGTAATATACAATAATATTACTCAGCTATAAAAAAGAATGAAATTTTGCCATTTGCGAAAACAGGGATGGACCCAGAAGGTTTTATGTTAGGAGAAATAAGTTAGAGAAAGACAAATACTATACAGTTTCCCTTATGTGTGGAACCTATAAAAACAAAACAAACAAATCAACAACAAAACAGAAACAGAACCCACAGATACAGATAATAAACTTATAGTTGTCAGAGGGGAGAGAGTTGGGGGATGGGTGAAAAAGTGGGGCACACTCCAGTTATAAAATACATCACAGGTATGTAGAGTACAGCATAGGGAATATGACAATAATATTGTTACAACTGCATGGTGACAGATGGTTAGTAGACTTACTGTGGTATCATACTGTAAGGTATATAAATATCAAATCACTATGCTGTACAACTGAAACTAATCAATATAGTATCCCAACCGTACTTGTAGGTTAGGTATTAGTACATATAGTATGATAAGATCAATAGATGAAGAAGGAATGTAAATACACATGCACACACATATACATATATATGTATATATACATAGTCTGTCCAAAAGGTATCCAGCCATGTAATATGAAAAACAGAGACATTTATCAAAGAAGATACAAGATACAAAAAACACTGTACATAGGACAATGATGCCTCAGTCCCCTTCAAAGCAGGCACCTTGAGACCTCATGCAGTTCTCCCAATCACCATCAGCTGCCCTGTTGTATTTTCCTGGATCTCATTGATGGTCTGAAATCTCTTCCCTTTCAAAGGTGATTTTATTTTCAGAAAAGCCAAAAATCTCAGGGTGCCAAATCTGGGCTATAGGGTGGTTGAATCACCTGGGTGATTTGATGTTTTACCAGAAAACTCTGCACAAGCTATGATGCATAAGCAGGTGTGTTGTTGTGATGAAGCTGCCGATCACCAGTTGCCTGTAGCTGCAGCCTTCTGAATCATCTGAGTGGTTTCTGCAGAGGAATGTTCACACTTAATGCAAAATATTTATTTTGCATTATATTATTTATTTGATGCAGATTTGTTGCTCTACTTGCTCATTCATTTTGAATGTGATGGCCACACAGTACACATGCTCACTCAATGGCATCTACCACTCCCATTGACTAGTACCGTGAAGTTGTCATTGTTCACAAATGTGCATTCCAGTCCATTCTCCTTGGCTGCCATGTCACATTGATGTTGTGCAAACCCTTCTTGTTATAGTAACAATAGTAACAATGGCTGGACTTTTTCTGGACAGTCTCTATATATATATTGAGAAAGAGAGAGAGAGAGAGAGAGAGAGAGAGAGAGAGAGAGAGAGAGGGAGAGGGAGGGAGAGCACGCTTCTTTTTCACCAGCAGAGAAAATCTTAAACACTAGACAAAAATTTTTAACAGTGACTCAGGTTGGGGGAAGGTGACAAGGTCTTTCATTTTTACTCTTTTCCTTTTACATAATGCTTGAACATTTTAAATAATAAGCATTTGAGTTTCATATAATAAAAATTAATACAAAAATAGTTAAGACTGTACTGGGAGCTTAGATTCTAAATGATTTAATTACTTTTCTACTCATAAGAAAATCAAATCTGGTGTTCTTAACAGGGCTGATCTTGGGCTTCATTCAGTATTTTTCTAATGTTCTGGAGCTATGAGAAGCAGAGATAATTTTTAGGTTATCTACAGTAGAGGGAGTTCAACAATATAATACCTTTAAAATCGAGAAGTAAATATTTTATTTTGAAAAAGAGGCATAATACTAGGACTCTACAGAAAATGTCTAAATAAAGATCATTATAAAAACAGTCTAGGTGTTAACAAAAAAAGTTACTATGTGGAAGTTGTCCACACTTCGCCCTGCTCACTCCCATCAGAACACTGGGTGTCAACCATGTAACTCTACCCTCCTTTGCTTTCCCAGAAGAGAAAGGGCAAAAGCTATAAGGGTAACTACCAGTGAAAAAATTAATTATAGCAGAGGAAAATACACTTTCTGCAGTGGCCAGTCCTGGGGAATTTATTGAAAGATGGGGCAGAGGGCAATCCATACAGGACAGTGCAACAGGAAGCAGAGAGGCAAATAGAAGAGTGAAAGGGAAGCAAAGGGATGATGCTAATGAGAGAGAGATACTCATGTGGATTTGAGGGAACCTGGGAGGCAGGTTGAGTAAGAGGCTGTCAGTTCAGGGCTGGCTTCCTGGTTAGGTGGTCTGTGTGGTCACCAAGGGCTTTGTGCTTAGAAGAGCTATTGCTTGGTTTCATGATCTGCTGTCACCAATTTGAAATGTGTAATGATTTTTGCATAAGGGGCCCCATGTTTTCATTTTATACTAGGTCCCACAAATTATGTTGCTAGTCCTGCTTGTCACTTTGTGAGGTGGAGGATAGTGACAGGAGGAGCTGGGAGATATAGGTCCAGACTGAAGGTAGGGATAACTGGTAGTGGCAGAGCTCTGTTGAGGGTGCTAGAGTAGCTGTTTAGCCATATACTTGATGCTATAAAGTGCCACCAGAAATTGGCTGAAGTGATAAAGAACAACCAAAATTGGGATGAATGTATGTTAGCCTGAAGAAAATTCTTTTAAGGGAGAATTGGGTTTACTATCTAACAATAATATTGTAAGAATATTGTCACAGGAATGTTCAGCCATCATAATCTTTCAGACAAGTGTGATTAGGGGGCATTATTGCTGTCAAATTATTATTCATAATCCTCTGAAATGTGAATCTAAAAATGACATTACTTGAGAGGGGCTGATATCACTTTCAACACTGTATCT